GCGTAGCTCAGTCAGTATAGTGACTGGCTACGGACTGGGCGACCGGGGTTCGATCCCCGACAGATGCAAAGGATTTTTCCTCTAGCCTCTGGGGCCCACCCAGCCTCCTATCCAATGGGTACCAGGGTCCTTTCCCGGGGGTAAAGCCGGCCGGGGCGTGATGCTGACCACTCACTCCCATCTAGTGCCGAGGTCAAGAATGAGTAGGAGCTATACCTCCACTCCCCCCAAGCGCCTACATGGCTTATAGTGGAACAGCTTTACTTTTACTTTTTTTTAGAAGAGCCACCATGTCTGGTAAGAGAAGTGAATGTGTTGGTAAAAAGTTGCATAGGTCTATTGCCTTAGAAGATAAAATGGACGTAATTCGTAGAATAGAAGGTGATGATACCCATCGTAATGTGTGCAGAAGTATGAAGTTGCCTCCATCCACTGTAACTACCATAAGGAAAAATTCATATAAAATAAAACAGTCATTGCAACAGGCTACGAGAGTAAGTGCAATGCAAGTGAGTTATAGCTGAAGTAAACTTTTAGAAAGAATGGAGAAATTAGTGTTGCTATTGGTGGATGACATGAATCGAAAAAACAAACCCTTGACTGATACTGCTATCACAGATAAGTCAATTTTTTAGGAGCTTAAGTCGTCAATGTTTGGGTGCTGGGAACGCATGTCATTGACTTCCCATTGATTTACATTATAAAAAGAGTTTCAATTTAGGCCAGTTCATCCAGGAACGCATCCCTGGTGTAAATCAAGGTTTACCTGTATTGAATACAGTGTAATCTTTGGTACCTGCTGTTTTATTCATAGTAATATGTAATTCATAAGATTATTCTGTGTTCCATTTATTTTTAAATACAAGTAGCTGGACAACATCACACAAGGTATTCACACAGCATTGAGCAGCTTTGGAAGAGATAGAATGGTGGGACATTCTCAGGCACCCAGGATTGGTTAATTTGGTAATGGAAGGAACAGTTGACGGGAAGAATTGTAGGGGGGAGACAAAGATTGGAATATGTGATGCAGATTTTTGAGGATGTAGGATGTAAAAAATATGTGGAAATGAAGAGATTGGCGCAAGATAGGCAAAAATGGAGGACCGCATCAAACCAGTCGGAAGACTGATGACAAAAACAACAACATGTTTGAACTAAAAATGGTGGTAGAAAAAATGAGAAACATTAAATCACCAAGTTTTCATTAATTAACTGTGGAAATGGTATTTGGTGTACAGTAATTTATATAGAGTTCTGAGAAAGGTGGAGATTTCTAATAACTTATATGATGATGAGAAAGAAGCAATAATAGTTTCTGTATTTCAAATTGGAAAGTTTCTCAAAGCAGTAACTAGCTGTAATAGGGGTTTTATTTCTGTAACTGATGTGGAATGCTGAAAGTTGATGCAGCAGTGTTTAAAGTGTCCAGTTGTCTAAGGTGAACAAAGCTGTGATTGTTTAGTACTGCATGGGGTTGTTTATTTAGTTAATGTCATTGTCACACCTTTCTATTTTGACACCAAAGAAATCATGAATAAACTTTCTGTTTATTGAATCTTTACTGATGTGTACTGTAATTCTTATTTAAGACGAGAACCTGAGGATACCAAGAGCCATGATGCAGAACGAGATATCTTCAATGAGAAACCATCAAAGGAAGACATAATTTCTGCAACAGAAGCTTCAGGTTGTTATGGCCTTGTTTTTGTATATTATGTGAAACCTGTATATATAGTCATACCGCGTGTATACTGCCATCTTCGCATTGTATCCATGAAATCCTTGGAACAGAAATTTCCTTTGTAGTTTCACCAGTTTTTACCACATCTCACTTCTCTGCAGTTAGTAGTAAGGAATAATGCTGAATCTCCTGTGGGAAAAAAGTTACCATTGTACAAATAAAAATCAAAAACTCTTTGAAAACTTCAACAAACCAAACTTTATACCTTTATTCAAATAAATTTAAAGTACATAATTAGTCATTATGTCATCCATCCAAGTGTCCAGGGTTAAATTACAGTGGCTTTGAAAGCTGAAATTTGTGGAATTTAAGTATTCTTTCAGCAGTTTGATAGAGTTAAAATTATTCTAAAAAAGTTGGGTCTTTAAGAGACCTGTACAAGAAATACAATTTTTGACTGTGGTTGTCTTCTTATTCTACCTGTAACCTGTGTGAAAATGCATATACTGGGCAGTAATTTTTAAATAAACATTGAAAGCATAACGTTTGTTTGATACGTATTCTCTTATGTACAGGTGTTCAGCGTTTATATGACAGTGCAATTATCCATACAGCACTGGGTGACATTCATCTGAAGTTGTTTGCAAAAGAGTGTCCTAGGACTGTCGAGAACTTCTGTGTGCATAGTAAAAATGGTTACTACAATGGTCATATATTCCATCGAGTCATCAAAGGATTTATGGTTCAAACTGGAGACCCTACAGGTTAAATATATAGTACTTTTCTGATTAATTTGTTTAAAACATTTAATTTTGTCCTGCTAATGTTAATGAAATGTACAAAGACATAAGTTAATTTATGAAGCTGCATGATTGTTTTTTTTGTTAAAGTTGTATTTTATTGATAACTGTCTAATTCCATGTAGGAGAGTTCTTGAGAATCTATAAGTTGCTTAACTGGTTATGAATTTCCCTGCAGATGAATTCAGTATATATATACCTGGCCTGATAAGCTTCGGTATTATCCTCCTGTCTGGCTGTCTCTCCCAAGTGATCCCTTCAGGGTTTGTTACTAAAATTTTCTGCAGATAAATGCTGAGATAGAGCCTTACAATAGGCCACTGTATCTTCCTTCCTAGTAATCAATCACAGTCATCCTACCATTTATGCTGTATAATTAGTTGACTCAAGAATGAATTGACTGAATGTTATGTCTGAGAACCAAGATGTAATGTTTACAAAATAAGTTACAACTTTGTGGTGCTAATGTGGAGTCTTAACATTCACATTTTTTGCCCATCATACATTTATTGAATCCTGATTTTTTTTCTTTCTTTCTGAAATAGGGACAGGCACTGGAGGAGAGAGCATCTGGGGTGGAGAATTTGAAGATGAATTCCACTCAAACCTTAGACATGATCGACCATACACTGTAAGCATGGCAAATGCAGGTGTCAATACAAATGGTAGCCAGTTTTTCATCACCCTTATACCAACAGTGAGTAATGTTGTCTACTGTGTAAGATTTGAGGTTCTCACAGCGGTGAGTATGAAGATTTCTGTCTTCTGGGTTGTTGCGCCGTGTAGTCTGGTCGATGTTTACCAATGTTTCAGAGGTCATACTGCCTCCGTCATCAGGGCGATGAGTATGCAAGAACACAGAAGACAGAAATCTTCAATGTTGTGTACTATTATCAACACCATAATAATCAACCTTGTGTTTAGGCCTTTCTTCAGTCATTCTGACTCCACTGTTTCCATCTGTGAGAAAGAACATACAGGCATACCTCGTTTTATTGCGTTTTGGAGATATTGCGTTTTTTACAGATTGAAGGTTTGTGGCAACCCTGCGTCGAGCAAGTCTATCGGCACCATTTTTCCAACAGCATGTGGTCACTTCGTGTCTCTGTGTCACATTTTGATAATTCTCGCATTGTTTTTTTAGACATAATGCTATTGCACACTTAATAGACTACAGTATAGTGTAAACATAACTTTTATACGCACTGGGAAACGAAAAAATTCATGTGACTCACTTTATTGCAGTGGTCTGGAACCGAACCCGCAATATCTCCGAGGTATGCCTGTATGTGGACTTATAAGATTTGATTTCAGAGACCTATCTCCTGGTTATTTTGTAGACTTGTGTTTTGGAGGTGCCTGGTAAAATTATTTGCTAGATTTCAATGTCATGGCTGAGATTTTTGTAGTTACCTTATTCTGTCCAGGCAAGGCAAATGGTGGGATAGGACCTTTAAATAGGCCATGGCAACCTGCTTCCTTATTCTCTCATCTCATTCAAAGTTCACGCAGTGGCATTTAATAACGTAAGAATGTATCATTCTAATGGATGTGTAGATGTGTAATAATGATCTTGGATACAGTACAAAGACAGCAAATGAGTGTGTAAGGGGTGGGAAGGGTAGTAGAGCTTGGACACATTCATGATTTGATGTGCTGTAATTTATTATGTATAAAATACAGGTATTCAATTTAAAGTTGTGTTAATATGAAAATTTATTAATTTTAACATTCATTAAAGTTGGTATAATTGATCGTGTGTTTAATAAATTGACAAATTACATCTGTAAATTGACTCATTAATTTTTATTTGTGTGTCTTTTCAGCCATGGTTGGACAACAAGCATACAGTATTTGGACGAGTTGTAAAGGGAATGGAAGTAGTGCAGAATATTAGTACAACAAAAACAAATCCAAAGACAGATAAACCATATGATGACATTCAGATTGTTAGCATAAGCTTAAAGTAAATGTTAATAGAAATAAAACATGAAGTTTAGAATTAATTCCATCAAAATATTTAGCAGAATATACTCATATTATCCATATCTGAAATGGAGATCTAAAACAGTGCCAAACTGCAAGAGTAATTGAATGGCATTAATATTTACCCATCTCACAAGTTAGTATTAAAATGTACTGACATGAGTTGACGCCCAATGTAAAGCATTTTATACCACATTTTACAAAATCCAATAAGTGAATGTAATTCTGATGTCTGTAATTGAATTAGGGGTCAAGCAGATGGACAGGCATGGTTTCTTTGAAAATGATAGAGTCAATAAATGAAAGTAATTTAAGAATTAAAATTGATCTTTTGTCATCACATCCTTTTTATTCCCCATCTAGTGATCGCAGTGTGAATATGTTCCCTGAAATAGAGTTAATTTTATATTAATTTGTGTGTAAACAATGTGCTTATAATTTAAAAAATCATATTGATATTATTTTGTTGAAGCCAGGTTTCAAGTAGGTAATTTCCAATGTAACGGAAAGTCTTAAGAGGTAAGTGAGAACTGTAGTGATAAGATATTGCCATTATAAAACAATTATTGATAAATTTCAGAGTAACAGGTATACTCTCTACAGTAACAATGTTCTGGTTAATGTAAAAGGATGTTGACCAGATGCAAATAAAGTGACTAGGTTTGTGATAAATACTTTAATTTGTGAAAGTAGTCCTAGGAGTGGGGCATGCCATAGCTCAGGCAGCTAACCACTGGTTTCTTATTGCAGAAATACAGCTTCATTTCTGGGTGACTGGTGGACAAAGTGGCACTAGAACAGATTTATCTCCAAGTTCTTTGGTTACCCCTGCTAATCATCATTCCATTATTGCTGCATATTCATTTATCACTGAGGTGTGTTCCCCTGACTAAGCTGCATACCCTCAGTTCTAAGTCGTGGGCTTCAGCTCTGATGTGGCACGTGGCTGGTCGCAGAGCAAAGATGATTTAGGTTTTAATTAGTCTTAGTGCACATATAAAATTCTGTAAGAATACATCATGTCCTAAAAACTTTTTCATCTATATTTAAGAGATTTTAATGCACTTCTGTGATTATGTAGCTCCTTACTGGTACGGTGTCTTACTTTTTAACAATTTTACACAAATATAATAATGAACAGGAATTCTAATGCACTTTAGGAACTTATCAATTATTGATTGTTATCTGCTTCTCTTCCAGAGTTCGCATAATGTTTCTGCTGTAAAATTAAAGTAACGAGAACAAGATTGGAAAGGTGTACTTTGTGGAATGCACTGACACTCCAAAGGTGTTCTTCATGCTACATAATATTGCAGTAATGTTATTTGATGTCATTTTTGAGTAACATTATGTTCCAGTAATATCCTTTTGTCATTCATGTGATCCTATGTTGCTGTGTAGCAGCGTGTCCCAACAATTGTATCAGTGTTTTGGTCATCATTGCACAGTTGTTCCAACAGTGAGATAATGGCATCCATTGTTGTGTGGTCCTGCAGATTTCTTGTCTTCTGGGAAAAAATGACCATGAGGTATTATTTACTCACAGTAAAGTATGAAAATGCCTAAAAACAAAGCCTACAGAGAAGCTGTTTGGCAGTTATACTGGGGCACAACCCCTCCACTGTGTGAGATCTCTGTGTTCGTTGCCACGTCTTCATGTTCCCGTTCAAGTAGAGTCATACACTGCCTGAAAAAAAGTAAAATTAGGATCAAGTTCAATATGAACTGACTGGAAATACCAATCCCATAAATTACTGAAATAACATGGCAAGAAAAGTTTACAGATGTGGTTTTGTATGGCCTAGTTATTGTTGCAACAATCTGAAGACATTACAAACAGGGATAGGCCTATAAACTCTAGAGAACACCTAAAAGCCACAACAGATAAATTATTAATCAATCAATCAAAACAGTCTTGACAAGCAGAGACAGAAATCGCATTGCAAAACGAGGAAGCAGTGATAAGTGTTTGTAGGTCTGCTGGCTCTATGTGCACAGAACCTCGGAAGCCAATAACAGCTGCTGCTGCTGCACTGACATTTCAGAAAAGAATAAAGTTTTCTTCTCCTTTAGGGATTTAGCACAGAGTGAAGATAAAAAATACAAACTTCAGGATTGGCCCAGCAGACAGTGTAGACAGAAATATATTTTGGGGTTGGCCCACAAAGAGTTAATGAGATATTTGTTTTGTATTATGTGCCAGTTCTGTGGGAAGATTGATAAGAAGTTGCATTTGAGCCTGGATGGCTCAGTAAAGTGGAAGATCAGGTTTGAGCTCCTGCCAGGTGCAGGATGGGAGAATTCAGCCAGTATGTGAATCTGACCATTTATGTCCATCTATTGTGTCCAAATAGATTAAGGAACCTCCTAAAAAGGAGGCCCTCTGCTTCATATAAGAGTGAAAAGACGTAAATAAATAAATAATTATATGTTGAGTACTTTTCCAACCAGATGTAGGGTGACGTGTGGTCAGCACGACGAACCCCCAGCCATTGCTAGTTTTCCTGACCGGATTACGCTACTCATTGTAGCTCCCCAATTTCCTCGCGATGCTGGGTTGGCACGTCGTTCACCTCTGCTTAGGCAGCAAGTCGGCTTTAGCTCTCAGAGGGCTGTTACACCACGGATTATTATGTTGAGTACTTTTGGACATGAAGAAGATCGATAGACATGATGTCCCCAGTATCTATTCATATTGTGCAGGTATATAATGAATACATAAATATTGCTTTTCCTAACTTCACGTTTGCATGTGTCATCACAGTTAATCTGGCCAGGTCTAAAATACCAATAGCTAATCTTAAACTTTTCCCTGTACCATTAAAACATTAGTGCATCGTACCATCAGCCCAGGTGTTTTTGCAGGTATTTAAATTTGAAGCGAGATGTTACTACATTGGAAGGGGCAGGGCCCTTTCAATTTCACTGTATTATGAGGAACAAAGAGTTATAAGGGAAAAAATAAACCAAAAATACTAGAACTATTTTCGAGAGAGATCATGCAACATAAGTTAACATTACAGAAAATAAGTTACGCATTCAATGTGGTATGTGAATTCCATTTGAGACGAGCTATTCTCATTTTTTTTCTAGCCCATATTACAGTATTGAAGTACATTATCTTCCAAATTTTCAAATGAGACTGCAAAGGCTTCCTTGGATAATATGTTCATTATCTGTTGGATATATTTATCAGTCTTTATATATGCACTCTACTGTATTATTATCAGGTCTTAACTTCAGAAAATTTACCATAAAGCTCATGTTCTTTGCAGTACAAATATATAAGAATAGAAGCTTCTATGGGGACTAGAAGTGATAAAATTTCAGGCAATGAACATGCCAAGGAAGTGTCTGTTTATGAGATTATAACTGAGACAAAAGAGTTACCAAATTGCACTTTTGTTCCTGATTGACATGACTGAATTCCAAGGATTAATTCCTTTGCAGTACCAGTATATTATAGGATGCCTTCCTGAGTTTGTATCTTATACATTTGCTGTGTTTATATAATGCTTTGTAATGGATTACAAAGATTTACAGATTGGTACAGAAATATTTGTAGATGTAGAACTTATGTTGTGTCATTATGCAGTCTTATAGATTGATGTGTCTACCATCTTCAGGGGCACAGCGTTCACAAAGATGCTGTCGAGTTTACAGACTCATTAGTGTTAAGAATGTTCACCGGATCTGAAATTTAACATTCATCTTTTTTATGTACAGTGTTAAGACATTCATGAAATTATGTTGATGTCTATACCATTTTCATAAGTTCATACAGCTTTGTAAGTACTATTTAATGTCTATATTTTGCCTATTTTCACTCTATAATGAAGTATGGAATAATTTTGGGGGGTAATTCATCAAACAGCAAAAATATATTCACTTTACAAAAGAAAATTGTTAGTTTAATGGCTGCTGTCAAACCTAGAAATTCATGTGGAAGTCTCTTTAAGAGATTAGAGATATTAGCTCTTCCTTGTGAATACATATTCTAGTTAATAGACTTTATTGTAGATAACCAAGAACTTTTTCAAACTAATTCTGCTGTACACTGTCAACACAAGGAATAAAATTCAGCTTCACAGACCAATTGCCAACCTCTCATGATTTCAGAAGAGTGCGTATTATGCAGGGATCAAAATTTTCAGCAGTCTGCCATCAAATCTCACAAGTCACAATTTAATGTAGCATTAAGAAGATGCTTAATTACACACTCCTTTTACTCTGTCGAATTTATATTGTTTAGAAATGTGAAAATTTATCTTCTGTATGTAATGTTAGATTTATTTGTAACTTATCACTAGTTTAGTTGAACCTTTTGTTTGTATTATGTGAAATTTATATAATAGTATAAATTATACTTTATAATATGTATAATATTATTATTATGACTTTTTCCACATCCTATTGTCACCTGACTATCTTATTGATCCATGGAATGTATGTCTGTTGATTTTTCTGTCATTCGTACGTTATTTAAAATTATGTGTATCCTACATTTAGAGATTTTTATCTTGTTTCTTACTTTACACATACTTTTTGTTTATCGTGTTGTTGGTGTATTAATTTCAAAGTTGTAATCGATAATTTCGTACATTCCTAATCCAATCCTCCAAACAAGCTGACCCTGGCATAAATTTTGTTTCTTAGACTTCCCTCATAATTTGTTTGCGCGTTATACTTTCGACCCGCCCGCCATGTGATAATATTGGTGTCTCGCTCTCCCTTTCTTCGCATGCGTGGAAGTTCGAGAGAGAGAGAGAAAGATGACCGCATTATGGTTTGTGGCTCGACCAATAGCGAGCGCGCTTGGCACTTCGCAGAAAATAGATGCCGTAATCGCTAACCAATAAAAACGTAGTTTGGTGACGTGATGTGTTAAAAATAACTTTTGTGAGTCACAGAATATAAGCTGTACGGTTGGATAAACTTGATTCACAAAGCTGCAACTGAGGAAGCAGGTTACACGTTAGCAGTTGTACGCGAAAACTTCGTAGTCACGGCGCCTGTTCGTATTGATCGCCGAAGTGAGTCATTCTTGTTGTGGTTGAACACGCGGTGACAACCAGCGTTATTGTTGTGTGCAGTGGTTGTGTGGTGAGGGACGAATTTCATATGAAGAGTGAACAGCACGATCTCTTGATGGTTCGTAACTGTGTTCCTCCCAAGATGGAGACTACGTTTTACGAGGACCACTCTTTTCAACATAGGTTAAATGGTGATGTAAACCAGTTGAAACGAAGCATGACTTTGGACTTGAATGCGTCTCGGGGGCCAGCGAAAAGGCCAAAATTTAATGCAGCTGTGACCGCGGCCCCAGTGTTGTCCTCGCCTGATCTCAACATGCTTAAATTAGGCTCTCCTGAGCTTGAGAAACTTATAATTGCACAGCAGAATGGTTTGGTTACAACGACGCCAACCCCAACACAGATATTATTTCCCAGGACAGTGACAGAAGAACAGGAGATGTATGCACGCGGGTTTGTAGATGCATTGAACGAGCTACATACGAGCGATTCCAGCCAGATGAGCTCAACGGGAGGTTTGCAGCCCGTAGATGTACCTGTCACCAGCAGTAACAATATTGCAGGCGTCGGCGTCACCTATACAACGCTGGAGCCACATGGTCAGGTTGTTATCAGTCAGGCAAATTCATTCCCTCCAATATCGTCTGCTGGTTACGGTATTCTGTCGTCTCCAGCTCCAGCCATCATGGTGAAAGATGAACCACAAACTGTTCCAAGTCTCGGATCGACACCACCGCTGTCTCCCATCAACATGGAGTGCCAGGAGAAGATCAAACTGGAGAGGAAGAGGCAGAGGAATAGGATAGCAGCTTCCAAATGCAGACGACGCAAGTTGGAGCGTATTTCTAGACTAGAGGACAAAGTAAAGCTTCTGAAAGGTGAGAACACAGAACTCGGCAGTGTTGTGCATAAGCTGAAAGAACAGGTGTGCCAGCTGAAAGAACAAGTGATGGATCACGTGCACAGTGGATGCCAAATAATGGTGTCCGCCCACTTCTGAACCGAGGACTCCCCGGGATGAAACCCGGCGATGTGTGTGTGTGTACCAGGAATATCCTTGCCTCTTTATTTACGGGTTTGGTTTTTAAGGTAACTTGAGATGTAATAGTCACAACAAAAGCTGTAACATCAGCTTATACTTAACATATAAAAGTGTCTGTATTAATTTGTATATCGGCCTGTCTTCATTCAGTTAAATTTTGAAAATTGTGTAGGAAACATGCCCTTATATGAAAGGGTCAAAGGTATGCTCAATTTTGAAATCTGCGTGGAAATAGTCAAGTTTACGAAGAAAACCGAACTTTAGTTTTCAATACCTACGTGATATAGCAGTTGGGAACGCATGACCGGTCCAAGTGCGTGGAAAATAAATGGTGCCTGGCGCGAGGCTAGTTTAGCAGCAACTGGCCTTGTCCGAACTTGCGTAATTCATCGCCACAAGCGACGTCATATTGAGAACAGGATTAGTTTGAAGTTGGTGCCCCCTCTCATCCTTCAGACGTTGCAGTTGACAACGGTTTTATTTCCCAAAGGGAAACTGATAGTATTACGAAACTATAGTGACTTCTTTTTACATTTTTGTCGTCTTTGATGCTGAGTGTGAATTTACAAATATGCATTCCTGAATCGATAAAGTGGACATATGTTTCATACAGGAAACATTCACATTTCTGGCCCCCTATTATAAGTTATAGGAGGTAAATGTGCATCTAGTCGCAACCCAATGTGGTAATACTTTCGTGTGTGTGTATATATATATATATGTGATTTTTACATGCTGTGCAAAGCTATATTTACCTTATCTTTTGAATGGTTTGCTAAGCAGGGAATTTTTAGAATTTTCGCTAAGAGCCGTTTTATATTGAAAAGTGCTGAGCCGCGAATATTTATCATTACCAGTTTTAATTGCTTGTTGTGTGATTTAATATTTGAAAGTGCTTTCAACAATTTGTAGAAAATGTATTGCCTGTTGGCAGTCTACATTTGTAATGCAAATCCTTCCAATATGCAATGTGCCTTTTGAACAGAGATTTGAGTTTTTGAATCTATCAGAATCCTCATTTTTTCTAAACAAGTTACAGGAAAGAAGCTCTGGTATGTGTATATACATGCATTTTCTACAATATATCATTAGCATTCACCTTCAATAAGATATTTTTGTGTGCTGGTATGTGATCTAGAAGATAGATTCCATAAATCTTTTTTATGAATGACTTTATTTTTGAAAAAATAAATTGATATTTGAGAACATGGTTACTGTTATTTACCCTAGCAATCCTTGAATTTGTTGAATCCGTATTGTTTGGCTTAGCTGTCACTTCCAAATATATAGAATTATTTTACAAGACTGTCTGAGGATGTAAAAGTACTTTACCAGGTAGTAAGGGATTCGTGCTGTAACAGTAGTTTCCCCTGTACTAAATTTTTGCTTCACAAATAAGAGGACGTGGCTTTGTAGCTGCAATAGTGCACTTTGATGATTTACAAGAGAAACAGTTTTTTAAAAATTGTGAACTGGTAATATGAAATTAAAGTGGATAGGTTGATTCTGCACTTTATTCTATTCTTTCTCCAGATTGCAATGGAATTGAATTTTTAGTCTTTTATTTATTGTTGTAATTTATATCCTGGAAACAGTTGGTACATCCGTTCTCTAAATAGTTATGTGAATTATGAGATTACTCTTTATTGCACACCCTCCATCACTAAATGTTACAAATAATAATCTGACCTCATACCTGAAGATATAATTTATAATGGTGATGGGAGACTTGTTTTGTAGTGATGCACAGTAAAAGCATAATATATTAACACTTGAATTGTAAGTTGTCTTGTTTCCATGTGTATTTAGAGAACGTGTACTCTAAATGTGAAATATTTTGTATAGGTATATTGAGACAGTTTGTTACATTAATTACTGGCACAAAATGTGCCAGTAATGCACATGGAGGGGGTGGATCATCTCTGAAAGTACTAAATAGATGTTAGTGCAGTATTTTATTTGAGGGGTACAGTAGAAGTTCATTTTGCATCAGTCCAATAGAACTCTCGCTTAACACGAATTGTAAGTCATATTTTATTGAATTTCTCAGAAACAGCTTAGGATAATAAAAGTGGGTATAGTGCATGACTTAAAGTAGACCTAATTTAATATTTAGAGCTTTAAACATTTTTAAAAAATTATTTAAAATAAGGAAAACCAATTTATAACTATAGTGTGATCAGCTTTGCAAGAAAAGATTTGTATTTGCAAAAGATGAACATACGGGCCAATGGGTTGATAGTTATTTGAAAAATGACTGAAAGATTTCTGTGGAGTAAGTGGAATCTTCTTTTTTTCTTTCTTTTGCGTTATATTACATAAGTTTCTTTATGTGCAAACAAAAGTAAGTTAACTAATTGTTAGTACAGATGGTTACCATTTGTACTGCCTGAATAGGATTGCAGATTGTCACAAACTGCCATGAAGTGTAGACTAAAATTTTGGTCCTCCAAATTAATGTAATCCCAGAACCCAACAAAAACAATGTCTCAGAAGATTTGTAGCAACAAACAGATTCATCAGATTGTTTCTACAGTGAGTATTTTTGATGGCTGTGCTGACAGCATGACATGAACATCATGTTTCTTAATACTAATGGCACAGCTGCCAAATATCCAGATTGTATATTAATTTATTTACATGCGTGTACTAATAACAGTGATATCATTTAAACTGTTTAAATCCATTTACCTTGATTGCTTGAAATTTTCAATAGCGTCTGGTCTAAGGTTAAAATTAAGAGTCCGTTACATTGAAGCATTTCCTTTATTCAGACTGTTGTGCTGAAAACATTGACAAATGCCCACCTATTTAATACGAACGTAATTAACTTGATGATTTTACCAATACAAAAAACAATATGGATCAGTGTAAGAATTCTCAGAGGTGTTATTATCAAAAGCATGAAATTAGAACAAGCACGACGTTTTTCGGTCTGCTACTAATGTAACACGTGACTTCCCTGCCGCTTACGTCACAGGTGTTTACTTGTCTCGGGAACAAAAGTTAGTGTATCACGATGAATGAACATTTCATAAGCAGCAGTGAATTCTGATCTGGAAGTCAATCATGCTGAAATGCAGTATTATCAGATCACCACATTACTAAGGTATTGTCATTATCATGTTGTGTTATGCAGTAAAACATTTATTTAGTATTCCTCAATTTTTTGTGGTCTAGCCGCGCACTGTTAACCAGACTGGAGCATTCGCCATTTTCGTCTGGCAAACCCTGTAAAACGTGTGACACAAACTTCCTTTTTCTACCGCAAATTGCTTTTACATATTCATGGATCGTTTTTGGTGCCCTTCAGCAAAGACTACAATAATAGCGAGTTCTCAACCTCTAATTAATTGATCAGTAACAGTGGGTTTTCCTGAGGAGTTTCACGTCACGTAGTCTACAAATCTGTTTACAAATGGGGAACCTGAACATGTTATTTACAACACAAAAATTAATACCCTACGTGATACTAAATGAAAACTGCATATAACCCGTTCAACGTAGAAGTGCCGTTTCCAGGCAAGGGAACTGTTGTTTGTTATCTTAAGTACTAGCTGGGGAGGGGGGGACGAAAAGTGTCTTTTACGTTCTTCCGTTGTACAGCCTGATACGAAAACGTCAATCGCCTTGAATCGTTTTTACGTTTTCTACTATATCGCCACCGGTGACATTCCTGTATCACCAACACAGCTTATCAATTTACGTACCGTGTTCCAATGGATCGCCACTGGCAAAGAGATATGTTTAATTTAAACACGTAAATCACGTAATGTGCAAACTTTATGTTATTTTGAGTGGTTATTGTACGTGTTTGTTTTGTGACGTATTCGATATCCCATTTGTCATTCCGACTAACTTTTGGATGTTTGCACTTGAGGATTTGAGTAAATTAGGTTAAATCGGAGCGTCATATTGTGATCAAATTAGATAATATTTTATTGGCCGTCTTCACAAAACAAATCAATCTTTCATTCTCTAGCGCTCAAAAACACGTCGACATGCAATCGAGCTCAAGAGCATGTCGTATTGATTCGTTGTGTGAAAACGACCAATAATAATATTAACTAATATTATCATACTTGAAGATGTCAATATTTAGTTGTCAAACAAGAATTAAAACGTGAAATGGTTGTCGGTTGATCAGTAATTCGTTTACTTGTCGTAAACTATATAAGGCTAACTAAAATTTGCAGACTGGCATAAATTTAGCAGTGAGCCGCTACCAGTCCACAGGCTACAAGCCTCGGCCAGCCACACGACTTGAGGGAGATCAGTCTGCGTTTGACAATCTGGTGAGTATCACAAAAAATTGTACAATCAATTCTCTGTCATATTGGACTGACCAAGGCATTATACAGGCCATTGCATTACATTTGCTATACTTTAATGAATTTATTATACAATTCCGGTATAATAGTTCAAATTAGGCCACGAAAGCTTTCTTCCATATCTTTTCCAATTCATCGTTCATTAATCATCCTGTCATTCGACGCTGTCTGAGCTACTAACAGCGTCGTTGAATAATACCACAAATAAATTAAAGTGGTAATTGTTTATGCTTAGATTGCACTATGCATAAAATGAATGTACAATAGGGAGATCTGTCCGCTTGTTTCCTCTATAATACTATTTAAGAGGGGTTTTTTTCGAAGCTTGGTTTTGACATTTGTAAAACAGTTTAAATCAAGCGTTTATTTATATTTTTCATCTGAACGGCTGTCCGTACAAAAAAAGTTGAGCATGGTACAAATTATACAGATCTCGTTAAAATATAAATGATATATATGACTGTATGCATTGAATCTGTAACAGTTCTTTGTCTGCAATGAAAGGTTTTGTCCGGAATGTCTGAACGTTGAGGTCATTGCAGTATGCCATATCGCAAAGAACGCATTTGTTTGTAAGAACATACCACTAATAACCACAGCTCATCTGAAGACGTTGATAGAATTTTAATTTATTATTTCATCCGGATTCGTAAGAATTTGTTATGAAGCAAGTGTTGTCGATCTTAATGGCAGTCATGAATATGTATGAGAACCTCGTACAAAATCTTAGTCTGAAAACCTGAAGGGAAGATGCTACTTAGGAGACCTAGGCATTGATAGGATGGTTAAAAATTGGCCTAAACGAAATATATGGGGGAATCGGCGATCGAGCCACTCCAAATCGGTTCGTGAGTGGCGGAAACGTGGTCCATTCTCATGCCAGTCTGCCACGAGCCTTCGTCCAGTGAAGTCCAAACTTGTATAATGTCGGGTCGTGAGTTTGTTATTGAGGTGATTGAGAAATATAGAGAGTTGCCATGTTTGTGGCAGATAAGTAATGAAGACTTTCATGATAAAGCTAAAAGAAGCTTAGCAATGGAAGAATTGGTGGTTTTATTTAAAACCAAAGATCCTACCGCCAACAAAGAAAATTCCCTTAGAAGTTGCTTCAGAAAGGAGCATAAGGACTTAAATTGCTTCTATTTAAGAGCCATTGCTTTGACCACTTTCGTTTTGGTTTTTTTCTTTTAATATACAGGCATACTGCCGTAGCTAGTACCAATTCTTCTTCCATCGCAAACACCACGCACTTCACAGAGGGACAACAAACCGCGACTGGCGTGACGCGACCGTGAATGTAGTACGTCTTTGGACGACATCCATTCGGATGTCATCCATCTGGAGCGATCGTGAATGGCGGCCTTTAGGGCGTGGACTAGGTTCATCTGACTCGAGACAGGAATCGGTGGTGGTTCCCTGTGTACAAGCAGCAAACCTTTGGGTTGTATGGAAGGTTAGGGCTTTCTTCTTCAGCCGAGTGATAGTTCCTCAGGACGGATTCTGTTCCGTGTAGTTTTGGTTAGATACACATTTTCTTTTAGCAGGGGACGAATACATCACATGCATCATAATCAGTCGGAGGGTTCACTCATTCGCTCGGAGGAAATAGCAGTGTCCGATACAACTGGATTAGAGATACACGAGACCTGGTTCGGTCGTACTCGGCCCGCTGTCGAGGTCAGGAACGTTGCATCGTTCATATAACTATTATTATCTGTGGTTTCAGTAGCTCGTTGACATAGTTTGTGAGGTGGACCATGCTGAAGCCGGTATTATTAAGCTATTGTTTGACTGCATCTCACTCGTATCTGTCCGCACTGATGATTCTATTGTATGTGTTGCTACTTATCATTCTTATTCTTCAGTTACCACAGTTTACGCCCTCTGGCCTGTTCCGATTCAGATTTAAATGAAACAACGAATCTATCAGACATTTTGTAGGGCTCATTGGACGGGGGATCTGCCCTTCGAAACACCTACGAAGCAAAACGCATGCCCCGAACGGGAGCTGTCGAGGCTTAAATCGCTCGTTCACTGTGTTCGGTTATTAATATTTTCTGGACAAGTTGCTATATGGGAACAGAAACTTCTTTTTGGAGTCCAGAAGTAATTCCTGTAAGATAAGACAGCTTGATAGCTAAGTGCGAACTTGGCCATCATTTACCACATGTGACATGAAAGAAGATTTGAGCGCAATACCAGTTTGAGGAAGTTCTTAAAACTTCAAGTTCATTGGAAATGTAGCGCCATTGAATTAGATTAGATTAGATTATAATATAAAAGATTAGACTTCGTACCAAACCCCTAATACGAAATGAAAAATATCGGTCACGACATCTATATTCTTTGGATTGATACACATCTATAGCCTTTCTTCATGTAGAAGTTTCGGTCAGCAGGTTTTGTAGGGTGTAGATGCCAGCGTTTGGGAGAAACTATTGTTTTCACCAGCATGGCTGAAGTCGCGATGCTGGGAAATTGTGAGGTTGGAAAAGGGAGGGTGCGGGCCATTCAGGGGAAAGGGAGAAGGGGGGGAAAGGTTCCGGGCGAACAGGGAGTGCTATCTACTTCAGTGATAAAGGTAGCAAGCACCTGTGGAACGCCGATAAACTTATATCAGACCACACAACGCAATTACGCAGACGACAGCCAGCCGTGTTCATGCTCGCCGCTGTGATAACCAAAGTCTCGCGTAAAATGGTAGTGTATGGATACTTAAACACACAAATTCAGAGAAACGCTGCCATTAAACAGTTTGTGTGTTTATGTAAATGACCCAGAAATGAAAGCTCTAAAACATGTGATCGATTAGTAATTTTGTGTTGAATGGATTATATTATGATTCTGATTTTTTTTTAAATTAGGCTGTTGTGACTCATTTTGAGGTAGAATCCAAGCATTTGCTTTGAAGGTCTGTGGTAACCCACGGACCGGGGACCTGTTTTTATGAGGTTTAGAATGCCTTTAGTTTGCCTGCTAGACTGGACACAATTGGTACAAGTAAACCTGTCCCAACTTGTCCTATCTTAGCATACTGAAGGGTTGTTGAGCCCTGTAGCACGTTTAATCCTACAGAGCATGGACTAGCAGGCACTGACTTGTAAGCTTCATTCCTGCGTGCTATATTGTATCTTTGTGTAACGACGTGAGACTGCGATTTAAATTGTATTGTTCAATACGCACGTCATGTATGCATCGTACTTAGAACAGTGTCATGTGATTTCCTGGTATGGACATAAGAACACGTGGCATTTAACAGATAAGACAGCTAAGGTCAACAAAAGGGAACACACAACCACACTACCACACTGCTGATAAACTAGTGAGCGGTCCTACTAGATAACATGGGTTGAATATTCCTGGTGAATTCCGAAATTATCTATGTGTTTTTAATCCTGTTCCAACAAAGGAGTTGATTTATGTTTGCCCGTTCTTTAACAATTTTCGCGTTTGTATCATGAATGGGATTTCCATTAGTCCAATGAGATAACAACATTAAAACTACCGTGCACTGAAGTAATCTCTGACCAAGGTGATTCTACAGAAACCCCAATTGTTTTCCCTCCGCATAAAACGTCTGTAGAACTACATAAGCCAAGAAACAATAATTTTGCCTGTTTTTTGTATGGGTGCGAAACATGGTCTCTCACTCAGAGGGAGGAACATTGATTGCAGTTGTTTGAGAACAGGGTGTTGAGGATATTTGGACCTAGGAGAGAAAAGTACGGGGTATGGAGAAAACTGCATAATGATGAGCTTAAAAATCTGTACTGCTCCCCCAGTATTGTCAGTGTGATTAAGTCGAGAAGAATGAGATGGGCGGGGCATGTAGCGCGCATGGATGGGACAAGAGGTGTGCACCGGGTACTGGTTGGGAAACCTGAGGGGAAGAGACCGCTGGGGAGACCTAGAAGTAGAAAGAAGGATAATCTCAGGCGGGATTTATGGGAGATAGGAGTTGAAGGAAACTGGATTTTGTTGGCCAAGGACAGGGTCCGGTGGAGGGCTTTGGTTAATTCGGTGATGAACCTTCGGGTTCAGTAAGCCATCTATTAATAGGTAGTTAGCTGACTGATGCTAGTATAACCGTCCACCTTCTTCGGTTATTGCTCTAGCTAACTAGGGACTCAGGGTCGTTAACGGGGATCGAATGTGCAACGAAGAGATAGTAATTGACTGTGAATCTAATTGTACCTTTATTTTATAATTTCTTTGAAACACAAGCTTATAAGAGTTTTAACCTTCTTCTCTCAAGATATTCTCCACGACTCTTTGTTTTAAGGAATTCCAACCAGCTCGCCCTTGCAGCGTTAATCCACAGGACTCTAGTGTCTGGACTGTTACACTAGCGAAGACTGCTTATTTATGACGTTAATGTTCAGATAGAGTCTCTTTCATTGTAAGGTCTTCTGTGGAATGGTAGGTTTGTAACACGTCGATGATTTGATGTCTGCTTGTGTAGAAGGCCGTGCTGTGTGAGGTGAAGAAACATTTATACCAACCCTTGGCCGTTTTTGTAAATTGTACTTCGGAAAGTGGGTCGGTTCGCAGTAAATTCCACCACAGTCTCCTTTAAACCCCCAGGACTACCCTAAATAGTATAATTTATATGAAATTAATAAATTTGCATGCGCGTTGAAATATGGTATTCATCTTTCATGTAACGAGGATTTTGTGGGCTTGTAGAAACTTACTTTTGGATGTCCTGAAAGAAATTTCGGATCCAGTATTTTATTTTTAACAAATGTGTAAGTATTTTTAGCTTACTTTCCTTAATTAAGGAAAAAAACAACATTAAGAGATCACTAAGCTGTCTGTAATTGTCTCCCCGAACCAGCTGACCAATTTTGACGAAAGTCAGTATGAGCGTTATGTCATTGGAGGCTATTTAAAGTTTGTTTAATTTGCTAAGGTTGGTAAGAACTATGGCGGACCGTTGGACTTGCGACACTAGAGTCGCTTTATCTCTGGTAATCAAAATTATGTACAGTGATAGTCCTTTGAAGCAAGTTTTGTATATTGAGCCATTGAAACTGGGCATATGAAATTTTGTATGAAGATACATCATTGACAGACCCACAGATCATGCAAGAAATATGATTTATAGACAGCAACCACGAACATGAAGACGGCGCGAATCTTGAAAGTTATATCCAATAAATTTAAAACAGAATATGTGTATCTGTAAGTAATACATTTGCCCCAAATATAATAGCAATAATAACATCCTAATGTTAGTAATAACGATCCTTTACGTATTG